GTTCTAATCCCGTGGAGTTAAATTAAGAGTAATTAAATAGCCCGCTCGACGTCGTCTTATAACGGAACACATTTCGCACGGTCGCCCTGATATCTCATGTTAAACAGAAGCCATATTAGTACTCGACGCTGCAGAGGCGCATTTAAGCGTCTAAAACAGCCAAACTTCGCTAACTGCGAAACAGCGCCAATAGTAATGTGTAGCGGCAATTCTCTACAGAGATGCCTCATTCGAATCTCAGCTGGGTCATCAGAACACACATGAAATGTTTCGTACGTCCTTTACGTGATAACAATTAGTTTTAAGGCGACTGTGAGAAGCACAGAGGTCAGTACAATACGTCACGGAAAAACACGGCTGAAGATGGCGTCATACTTCTTTCTAGAACACATGTTCAAAAAGCTGACACACAGACATGAGCATGAGAATCGCCCTCTAGTACAGAAGGCAAATTACAATGGAAATGTTTTAACTTGAGTCGTGTGCATTTACGTAACGACACGCAGAGGAAAATTCCTCAACGTCAAAAGAAAACGGAAGTCTTTGAAACACTTAAACCTTAGACTTTGTACTGCTGTTTGAGACAGTGAGTCAAATGCAAACAACCGACTACGATGTACCTGCTCACAAGTGTCCATAACGCACTTCATTTACACAAGACCATCGATGAAAATAAATGTGAACGTAACTAACCCCACGGTATGGGGTCTTCCTACAACATTTAAGTTACTCAACTACCGTCGCCTAACCACTAACCTTACAGCCCCATTAAAAATCGACACGCATGTATGACCCATTTTAATATTATCAAGATTAGAGATGAGTTATATAAAACCTATTTTCAAGGACACGAGATACAAACAGTTCACAGATTGAGTAAAAATTATAGCGAGTATCACAAGAACGCTGACTTAGGTGTAAACGTCGGTGGATGATGACAGCTACGACCAATGAGCTTTTAAAATCACGTGCATTTCTTGTTTCCTTGTTCTTCGTCCTTCAGAGCGGCACACGCAATCTGAATTGCTGAACGGAACGTCAGACAGAACCTTGCTCAAAGCATGGTCGATAGTCTTTCGACCATGGCTCGAAGCACTCCCCACCATCGATATCCACGCGTCGTCTGTTGGGAGCAAGGAGGCAGGCACAGAGTGACGGGCGGACTCTTGGCAATTATACACTCGGCGCTGTATGTAGACCAGATTACATAAAGAAAATATTGTGTCAAGTGATCGTTAAAACTGTCCTACAGAAATGAAAAACCAGAACTGATAGTTTTTTCGTAAAACTCCCCAATATCAAATTTAACAAAAATCCGTTAAGCCGTTATCGAGTTGTGTTACACGCGGATCTACAGACGGACATGTCTTAACAAGAACTCCGTAAGGTTGTTCATAAAAATAGTCAGAACTGCGTATATTCAAACGTGAATCCGTCAAATTCTTATTATTGACCAGCATTAATCATCACAAAACAGACAAACAAACGCTCGTAACTATTTACCGCGGTCAAAACTACAAACAAATTTTATTTGAGTTTCCACCGATTATGTAGGTATGACAACTTTATTTTTAGACTTTGTCTCCTGAGGGCAATGAACTGGGATATAAGTACGCGTGTAGCGAAGGTTGGTGGGTGCGTTCAACCTCGGAGAAGTTCCTGGTTGTGTTCGTTTCGATTCTGAATACTGAACACTGGTTTACTGTAATCGCGGTGTACGTCAACCGCATGAAAGATGGCGCATATGTAAACTGCCCAGTGCCGAGGAGATTTTTGTGATAATGGAATTCGGGTGAAAAGAACGGAAAGGTCTAGCGCTTCTATCGGACACAACCGATTACGTAACCCCCCACCCTTTTCAGAGGAGGGAAACACGTTGTCTTCAGGAACTACTGCATAGACCAGTGGTATTCAACCTGGGGTACGCGTATCCCCGGGGGTACGCGAAGACTTCTTAGGGGGTACGTGAAATTTAAAAAATATATTAATTTATTATAATCACTGAATAACCAGTAATGTAATTTATTTAATTTATTTTTTATGTAGATTATATACTATGTATAACTTGAATTATACACAAACAACTTTTGGGGTACAAAGTTGAAGAGAAATTATATCTGGGGGTACGCGAACAAAAAAGGTTGAATACCACTGGCATAGACCACAGAACTGTACAGGACCAAAACCCTACTTGGCCTTTTGTTCAGCGTATCACTGGTAAAAGCACTATAAAATGTAATTCTCTTAATGATCGCGTTGTTCTGTCCTAAATACATTACACAAAACTTCGGTCGTCTGCCCCTTCTGAACAACCCGACTCCAAACCCGTGGACAGAGATTTGACAAACGCTTTTCTCCTGCAAAGTTCACTTGCTGCAGACACACGCCTACTTCTGACATATGCAGTCAATAATAAAGATATATTGCATTGTTATTTATTATAACTGCTTCCTGGCACTATGTTATTCACATCAAAAATTTTTTTAAATAAAAGCTAAAAATCCCAATGAGACACCATCCCAAATGCGGTCCAAATTCGTTCATTAGCTTCGGAAATAAACCACACTGACGACAGAAATTACCTACCCAACATTCACGCATTACATAACACTCTCTACGAAAAATGTAATTTGACCCCTGGTAAGTTTTGTAGGATAGAACAAGACTCGATTTATATTTTCGGTATGTTTGCTTAAATAATGGAGATGCTGTGTAAGAAAAATGTTAACTTTCACTCCTTGGCCTCTCAACCGTCCATATGCATAATTAAATGCAGAGACGAACAGGTGAGTGCCAGAACACGAAACAGGTGACTAACGCCTGTCGCAAACTATGATAAGAGGGATTAAAATGTCTGCAGGTTGGCCGCCCATGTGCCCGTGTTCCTCCAACAAGGGCAGATTTCGGTAACTAAAGTCGAAACGATCCACGCTCGAGAAGAAAACTATGTTTTAAGGACTATTTCAGAACACATCCTCAGTTCCTCCAGTTGTGATTCTATATTTCCCACGAACTTCCTTCTTACGCGGTGTCCGAAACAGCGACTTGCCCATTCCCTTAAGACCAAAATATTTTCTTGAACACTTTGCTTTCAGACACCTACGAGTGTAATTTATGCTCTTTCCTCTAATGACACGAACTGTGGGAAAGAAGATGGAGTAAATTGATTCTTCCTAAACTTGGACTTTCCCCGATTTCGCCACGAACCTTATCGCATTTTTACTCCGAGATACAACGAACAAAAGCAGCATGCAGGTCATCGTCGTTGATAAAAATAAACGGCAGTAATCGGGAAAGACGCGGTTCGGGGCACTTAGGTTGGATATCTGGTACCGATATGCGTTATTCCAATCACAGTTACTTAACTGTAGTACATCTGAATATTCTCTTTGTACAACTACATTGAAATACGTTTAATTTCTGTACACCTCACATAGTGACATCCAAAAACTGAAAACGTTGCAGTACGGAATGTTCAAAGAGTTACACAGCTAACACAGTTTATCTTGCATCTCAAATAATGATTACGATTACAACAGACGCTGAAAGGCCCGCCACCTACAGTGGTACACGCCTCTCTACTCCTTCCTGTGTGTCAGATACGACATACAGTAATCTTTTATAGCTTGTCTCCGTTGCCATTTTTTAAACAAGATGGCTGTCGTCTAGGCTGTAGCACACTGACGTTTACCAATGTTTCAGGGGTATTTTCTATCTCCATCATCATGGCAATAAGAACCTCTGAAACGTCGGTAAACTTTTACCAGACTACACAGCGCCACAACCCAGAAGACAATCAACTTCATAATGGCCGCCGTGGGAACTTCTTATCCTGTTTAGGCTAATTCCTGTTCCATTGTGTGTAGTTACTTGCAGAGAAAAAGAAAAGTCACATTATGCTTAGATAATATAAAACGGGGTTTTGACAGTCTGTGGTCTACCTTAAGATGGAGGTAGTACGTTCCTCCGAAACGCTGGCAGTCACCTACAAGACTAAAAAGGCTACTGCTGACACTTCCACCGCCATGCAACAACTGCAAGGTTGTCATGCTCTGACGGGTAAAAAAATTTGAAAAATAAATCCAATCCGTGTTGTAAGCGGAAGTGAACTTTTTTATACCACAGCAGCAAACGTATAATCAGCTCAACAAAGGAATCAGATTTACGTAACAGCTCCCGCTACTAATTCCCAGGTGACTCTGTAACGTGACTGATTTATAAAACTGCATGTCTATGTCAGCAACAAGTGTGGTCTTATGTGTGCACCTGTCATCTGGGCCGATATCTCCAAAAAATATATATATTAATGACCGTAAGACCATTCTTGCACCAACTGTTTACATTCTGCATACATTCGACAGTCCCGTCCAAAACCTTACAAAAACTACATCCTTTCTCTCGCGGTGATGTGCACGGTTTCGTGAAAAACATTTTCCTTTTCAACAGTCTGTAGTGAAGCTCTAAAGCAGTGGTTCTCAAAATGCGGTCAGCGGAAAAATTTAAAACGAAAAAAATACATCAGCATGTACCATTATAAAAGTGTCAAGTTACTTGTTGAATCATTGCGTACATCACCTTTGGCCTCTGTAGCATAGTGCAACACACCTGGCAGAGATAACTCGTTACAAAAGGCATCTCGGGTCAGCTCCATCGACACTTTTGCTTATATTTACACCTCCTGGGCCAACCCGGTGGTAGACATGTCTCGGGTTCGACCCTAAACGTCACCGTTAATATTAATAATACTATATGTCAGTACAATGACAGCAGACCGCATGAATACGAGAACACAGCCAAATGCAGAAACGTCGAGAACATGGAATAAACGTCAATGCTCAACATAATTGTGGTAAACTTCAACAATTTTGCCCACAGCACTTGTTTCGAGCACTTATATTCTCCTCTAAAAAGCAAAAGATTTGACATTGGCAGTAAATTTGTTTTATTTCGTGTACGTACGCGTTGGTACGAATAATAAACAGATCGGTTTATAAACTCACGTTTTTTCCTGCCTTCGGATACGGTGTAGGTCAAGTCACTGAAGCCGATGTCCACGGGCTGCCTCTTGGGGAGGTGAGTCAGCTGTTTGGGTTGGCACTGTGTAATCGTCACCTTCACTGATCCCTTCCTATCACCAAGAAGACAATCATCAGTACTAGAGCCTTCCAACTTCATGTTACTCAAAGCAGCACGACACAACCTGTTCTTACAACGTCTCGTAGCTCACTGAACGTCACAACCTTGTGAACATGATGCTCACGCATGCGCAATAGAGAATTAACCTTTGATCTCGGTTTGGACTGTGTGCCCTATACACTGAACTACACCGAATGATTTCATCGGAATTATGCACAGCTGAGTTTAGGGAGATAAGAGTTATCTTTACCGCTGTGTAATTGTAATTATAATTAATCGAATTCTTACGTACAAACTAATCCATGGGCTCGAGACTTACATGAGACGCCCGTCCAGTTCTGTTCCATTAATTTCTCAAAGTACGTTCTACTTTAAGCTTACATTTCATTTTCTTGCTTCCTCAACTTCTTAATAAAAAAGACAGATTTCCGATGAAATCATGTCCCTAAATACATACATATGAGCTGATCAGAGCAAGAAGTTTAGGTTAGGTTTATGTTTTCAATTTATTCAGCATAATAAACGAAAATAACATTTGTATTACGGCCAATTATTTTTCCTAGCAAGCACACCAAATTACGATACAAACAAAAAGCCTAATTTAACACGTATACCACTTTAGCTCTGAGGAGTACATACACACTTAAACAGCATTCAACTTTTACATTCAAATTGCAGTTTAGAAAAAAGAAAACTTCGGGTCATTGACTCGACACGACCGACCGGGCAGAAAAGCGCAAATGAATAAGACTTTGTCTAAAACGAATATATTAATTAGCCCCTTCGCACCAAAGCAGGATTTTGTGGAGAATGCTTTCCTAAAAACTGTACTACAGACACGATGAAGACATATAAAGAATGATTTTTATTGTTTATCTTTTCTACTCTTCCATCTTGTCTTCTCTTCACTGGCTCAACAGTTGAAGAGTCACGAACGACACCAACGGCTGTGTCGAAAACTTCTTGACCCGAATACAAAGATTAATAATTACTTCTTTTTTTGTGTAAAATTCAAAGTTCACAATGGCGGTGACTTTGTAGAAGACTGACTGCCTTCTGGGTTGCTGCGCCGTGCAGTCTGGTAGCAGCGCGAGGCTTATTCATCGCCTTTAGGCAGCAAACAGCTCTGAAACGTCGGTAAACTTCAACACACCGCCCGGCAGAAAACCTAGAAGGCAGCCATCTGCATTCTTCTCAGTCAATTATCTCAGGGTCAAAGCCTGTGTTCAGTCACACGGGTTTAAAATAACCGCTGTGTCAGAGTTAAATAAACTCTTTCGTGAGTAATGGATTCCATAACGCAGAGTGATCATAACTAATCCGTGGCACCTGTTACGAGCAGGAAGTTCGGAAAGAGTAATAATATGTCAGTCTGAGCAACTGTTGGAAACGAACATGTGACATTTAGCCGATTCGGCAGCAAAACAATTAATGACGTCATGAAACTGGGCATTCATGACGAACAACCGAATCCAACGATCCCACATTGGGAACAGATTCGCAAGTCAAGCTGTTAACAACCGCCGGCAGAGGGGTGAGGGGTCTGGAACGAGTCCTACCGAACCCCGACAAAAGGATACGTCACTGGGGCGGCAGTACGTCTGGTGTGTTGATAGCACAATCATCATCAAGTCGTCCAGTGCAGTGGGCGCTTGAGCCGGGGTTGTACCAAGGGAAGACGTGTTGCTAGGATGTAGCTACCATTTTATTATTTTAATGAAAAAGAATAAAACTTCATGGGCATAACACTGAAATACGAGGTGCGATCGAAAGGTTT